TCAATCTAAAACAAATATCCGGTCTTTACACTTTAATTTCATAAAATCTAATACCCATTAGTCAAAATTCATCTTTAGTGAATCACTTTAATTGACTAATATCTTGTAAATAATAGCACCATACATTTTAGAGTCTGTTTGTCTACCATTATTGGTAGAAAAATGGAGTAAGGAATAGTAATTTTTTGAGAATGTGTGATTGAAAAGTAACTTTATGGATTTGTGTGTGGAATATTTTATTGAATAAATATGTGGTTGAGATTGTTTACTGTAGAAAACAATGTTTGTAAAAATGGTAGACAAACAAGGGTTTGATATACAACAAGTGGCCCCAAATATGATGAAATTATCCAACATGTCACAGCTTCATTTCTATGCACAGTCAGGTCAATAACAACAGATTAAATGTGTATGTAGATTCATGCAATAAGTTTTGAGAAAGTTTTTAGCTCAACCTCACTGTCACCCTATTACAACACTCCTCATATACCCGAGATTGGCACTGGCTATGAAAAACATGGGCAGAGTTTCCATGTCAACTGTATATTCAATCCGCATATTTCTTAGTTTCTTTATTTTTATGTATACTAGTCCAAAAATATTAGACAATTCAATAATGACAAACCTTTTGAGCTGTCTAGAAATAAGAAATGGAAGATGTGATTGTGATTGTGATACTTAAGAAATACCCAAAATTCATATATGTTAAAGCACTGCGACGATGCATACACGCCAAAAATCTTATTTAGGCATTAATTATGTGGTGAGTTCATATATTTACTTCTATTTCTTTAATTTCCTCAGCTAATCTCAATTAAAAAACATTAATATAAAGAATGCATGCAATTATTGATAACTGTTTGGATTTTTCTAAAATTGTTCCAATCACAGCTTATTTTTTTTCATCTTGGGTTTCAATGATTTGATCCATTGACTATTGTGATTGTCCGTTTCAGGTTCATAAGGAACAAAGATGTTAGAATATCTTTTATCAGAAGGTCTTTTGATTTTATTGAATTGACAGGGGAACATATCTGATGGAGACGAGGTTGGTCTATTTTCCCTGAAATAAGATAAATTTGGAGTTAGTTAGGTAAACAATTTGAATCTGTTGGACTATATTCCATTCCAATATAAGCAGACAAGTGGAGTTTCGAAAAAGAATTTTCCTTGGCACAAATGGAAAAAATTGTATGAGGAACAGTTTGTCCTCCTTTGTAGACGGCAAGGACACAGAAAAGTGCTTAGTAATAGTAGACAATTACATTTGACTATGTCTACTACTATCTATATATAGAGACACTGACCCTACTGACTAATCACTTTCCGAATCTTCTCCCTCTAAACTCTGAAAAAAGACTGTCAATATTGAAGAGCAAAAAGATCTTAACATTTGCACGATGAAGAGATCAAGTGATTTCAAGTTTTGGGATGAAAAAAGATCGGAAGAATATTATCAGAATAGTAATGATTCAGGGCATGTTGAAGATGAGTTTACAGATTGTTCTCCCCCTCTGTGGACTACGGCTTCAAGAAATATTAGGTGTCACTGCCATAACAGTTTTCCATCACCGGATTCACATTTACAGGTTATTGCAGATAGCAGAAGGGAACTGATGGAGATGATTAAGGACATGCCTGAATCGTCGTACGAACTCTCGTTTGAAGATATTCTCGAGGATCAGCAAAGCATAGAGGTAGAAAAGAAGAAAAGTGTAACACAGGAAATGAATCAGAAGTGTAAAACTCGAGCTGGGAATTCAGAAAAATGTAAAAACATTAGGCAAAGGCAAATTTCGCGGAGTGAAAGCATGGAAAGTGGAGTTTTTCTTCTAAAGATGTTCCTACCGCTGTCTATTGGTTCCAAGAAATCCAAGAGAAGAATTTGTGGAAAAGTTTCTCCTGAATTATCATCCAAGCGATCAACTAAATGGGCTAACAAAGACTGGTGGAAGACGATATTTTTAGCAGCAAAAGATAACAAAAACAGACCTAATATTCAAAGATGTTCCAGTGACTTCAGTAGCAACAGAAATAGGTATTTGCATCCTTTTGAGTATGCAGTATAATGAAAAAGATTTTACTTTCCCTTTGCGCTCTTAGTGTTTTCCACTGCTATATAGTCTTCCTTATCAAACAACTCTTTTGGATATTTTTAGGTTGGCGAAAAGCGACTCCATACCCAGTTGGTGGTCTTTCAGCAGCAAGAGTTGCATATCAGGTGGTTGTCTCTTCTGAGTTCTGAGTGAGAATGGTGGGGATACACAAGATGACTATCACAACCAGAAAAAGGAATGATGTACGAGACATTTTATGTACATAAGCTCAAGCATACTCTCAAAACAATATCTTATTTATCCTGACACTAGCACAGGCAGCTTGTTATCTGAAGAAACTTCTCTTGAAGTGAAGAACTGTTATAATTGTCAAACATTCTAGCATATACATGTTTTATAAGGGCAAAATAAAATTCTATACTTCAATTCCAGTACTGTGGAAGTAATAATCCTTCATTACAATGGTATAATGGAGCATCTAGTTAAGACATCTTTTCACTGTATTTGACCTCCATTAGACACATGCGAAAAACCTACATTAAGTCTAGATTTGTGCATTTTAAGGTTATATAGTAGCAAGAATTGCTGCATAATCTAGCACACACAGATGTCCAATTTAAACTGGTTCTTCACTTGATTTCTCGTAGCTTGTTCGAGCTTGATTAGTCTAACTTGGTCGAGGACCTTCTCGGTCCATTCTGCAAAAAAGGTTGCGTTGTGACCAACCTTGCCATCTTTGTGGAATAAAAAGCAATGTAGATCATCATTTGGAGACGGGCAGTCGTCTCCAATCGGATCCCACCATGCACCGCGGTGCTTCATTCCCGATTGGTCAGCCATCCAGTGGAGAGCATATTGGCCTATTCCTGCATGTTCTAACCAGCCTTTTGGAAAGAATTCCATTATGCTGCTGTTCCTGTCCATGAAGAGCATGTTTGTCAATTGTGCTCCATGGGGAGATGCAACAATGTCTGTGTTTGTCATTACTTTCACCTGCACATAAAATTGGAAACCGTATGAAATTACTTAATGATAAATCCCATGTTTGCATAAATGGTGATCCTCTTGGATGGAATTGGCACTATTTCCTCTGCCGGCTTAGTTTATTACGAGGCCTTAATGTTAGGGATTTTAGTCTTAAGCCCAATTTCAAGAGCATTAAAACACACAAAGTACAAAGATATTTATATAGTAGAAAAATTCCTTAAGTACAGGAA